AGTTCCCTGTCAGTATACTGCTGCAGCTGCTTTTGAATGATCTTCAGCAAAATTTTACTTGTGTGTGATGTTTATGATATTGTTTGATAATTTCCACATTCCTTTCTTTGGAATAGGAATAAATATGAATCTTTCCAGTCGGTTGGCCAGGTAGTTGTCTTCCAAATTTCTTGGTATAGACGAATGAGCACTTCTAGTGCTGCATCCATTTGTTGAAACATCTCAGTTGGTATTCTGTAAATTCCCGGGGCCTTGTTTTTTTGCCATGCCTTCAGTGCAGCTTGGACTTCTCCCTTCAGTAACATCAGTTCCTGATCATATGCTACCTCCTGAAATGGTTGAATGTCAACCAATTCTTTGGGTACAATGACTGTGTATTCCTTCCACTTTCTTTTGATGACCTTAAGTATATCTCACCTGAATTTAGAGACCATCTCAAGAATAGATTTGACACATTGAACAGTAATGATGAGTTGTGGAACACCAGACAAGTGAATGACATCAAGGACATCATACATGAAGAAAACAACAGGTCGTTAAAAAGACAGGAAAGAAAGAAGAGACCAAAATGGATGTCAGAAGAGACTCTGAAACTTGCTGTTGAACGTCAAGTAGCTAAAGTGAAAGGGAGAAATGATGAAGTAAAAGAGCTGAACAGAAGATTTCAAAGGGTGGCTCAAGAAGACAAAGGAAAATATTACAATGACATGTGCAAAGACCTGAAGATAGAAAACCAAAAGGGAAGAACACACTCGGCATTTCTCAAGCTGAAAGAACTGAAGAGAAAATTCATGTCTCCAGGCCCTGGGCAGCCACAAACTCTCGTCTCGATGACTGGGTGAGGGGCATGCTCCATCGCCCTCTCTGCACCCGTAGTTCTCACAAAGGGGGCAGCACCCCAAGGGACTTTTGGAAATGCCTAGTGGAATTGGGGCATTTGTGGCTGGGGGATGCCACAGTCCCAGCATTAGAAGAGTAACCCTATCCAGCGCCTTGTGAGAAATACTGCTGGAAGCTGAGAGCTGCTCAGTGCTTTTAAATACAAATGCAGATATTGACACGTGTACACACTCTCACACTCGCTAAAGCAGACGCTAAAGCAGACACACTCCTCTTTACAGGAGAAGCCTGTTGGACAGCTCCTAAGCACTGCAGCTCCATGCGACCATTCACGATGGGGTGCGCGTTCCAAGCACCCCTACTCCAGATGGCCGCTCCCTGGGACAGTTCTGGGTCCTTGGGCCCTGGGATGAGCTTCGGGCTTTGTCCTGCCTGAGGCTCTGCTGCGGGGCCTGCTGTATACCAGCTCCCAGTGTCCTGTCTCCAAAGCAGTGGCCTTTGGGGGTCACTTTAGCTCCCTGACTGGTGGTTCAGTCCCTTAACAGTATCCCCAACATCTGTCACAGGGTCCCCTCTGAGGTAGAATCAAAGTGTACTCAAATCAACTTCTGGGAGAGTTGCCCCAGGCGTTATTTCCAGTCCATTGGGATGTCTCTGAGTTCCCAAGATGGTGTCATTTTCCTGTCCTCAGACTGTCATCTGTCTTTTTCCAGCCCTGGGGGGTTGGTACAATGCCACGCTCCCCCAAGTGTGCAGCACTCTGACCTGCTCTGAGGCTAGGCCTGACTCCAAGGGGACTGGAAGTGACCAGGTGACAGCCAGGCCCAGAACCTGCATTGCCTCCAGGCTCCAGCTGGCGTCTGTGGGGAGTGCAGGGTGGGAGTCATTTTTGGATGGCGAGGTGTGTCTGCAATGCTCACTACACAACCTCAGGGGACCCTGGGCTGGGGTCGCTGAGGTCCCCTGTGCATGTGGCTGTAGATGGTCAGGACAGTTTAACTAAGTGAAGATTCTGTGTCTACAGTCAGTCAGTGGGGTAGTCTTCTACCAGTCACGAGGAAGGGCTTGGAGACACGCAGTTGGCCCAGCCAATGGACTGCAGGGGCACAGTGACACCCTCAGTCCCCAGCCCCCTTCCCCCTACTGAGGGCCACTTAGGGTGAAGGTCCTTTGCTTTGGAAATTCCACTGGCCCTGGGACTCTGTAGAGCTTGTTGCAGTCCCCTCCTTCAGGGACATCCCAGTCACGGAGTTCACATAGAGGGAAAGATTTCCCAACGCCCAATTCGTAATCTTAGGGTGTGTGTGAGGTAGGGAGGGAGGATGAGGGATGGAGGGGCTGTGAAGACCGCCCCCCAACCCATATGTGTGTGTGAAGATGCTACAGCAAATGGTAAAACGCAAGTCAATTTAAAAGCATTGCTAATTGAATGATCATTGTGTCTACGCTCCTCTATATGAGCTTCTCGATCATGTGTGTATGAACGGTCCCTATTACAGGTAGTCCCCAACTTATGGTGTATTCAGGTTATGAAGAACCCCACATACAACTGTTTTGGTTTTTTTTTTTTTGTACGTCTTATCTGTAATATGTACTACATACAGTGTTGCAGCACATCATTTTCTGATGTTATCATTGTCCAGTGTTCACTCGCAAATGTTCAATGTTATGATTTACTGTTCAAAATACTGCTGTATAGCAGGCCATGGCAGTGCTAACGAAAACTTTAAGAAAAATGAGGTATTGAACTTACTTCAGAACTGATTTATGATTGAGTAGTCTAAACAGGACCCCATTGTAAATCAAGGACTACCTGTATTTTGGTACATCAGGGCTATAGGAGGTAATTTCCATAACTCAGGTGAGATGATTGCAATACTTATTCGGCATTAGATATTTTGGAAGCAAAGTACAGGAAAAGGAAAGTGAAGGGTCGCAGGAGGAGAGAGGGCGATTGAGGAAGGAAAGGCAGAAATGAAGGGTAAGAGAGAACAGGGGTCAGAGCGTTAATGGCTGGGCTGGAGTTTGTGTCCCCAAGATATGTGTCCCACCAAGAACGGGGAGTTTCTCAGAACAGAGCTCCTCTGCAGAGAGACTGAGTGATTTGGGAAGAGAAGGAAGGCACAGTTCAGGTTTCCAAAACTAACACTAGATGGAGTCAGGCTGAATCAGAAAGAAGTTAAACTCAGAAGAAAAAGTTAGGAGGAAGCAAGCCATTTTTCTGTAGCAGAACATCGCATATGCTTTCTGTTATCTAAGAGTCAGTGAGCATTCTCCTCTGTTTTGCAGACGAAACTGCCGTTCGTCAGAAAGGTGAGTCCTCAACATGCTCCAGCCACCTCCGCCATACCTGGCAGCTTTATCCTCTCTATCGCCCCAGGCACACTGAGGGGTGGGGAGCACTAACCCTTGGCTGGAAGACTTGGTACCAGGAGGGCTGTGGGACAAGGAATCAGCCCCGCTTTGGGCATTTGCAGGAAGTCCTAATATGGTGATACTTGGGCAAGCTTTAAAGCGAAGATGTGGGGGCATTTGTGCAATTAGAGCTGAGAAATAACATGCTCAGCTGCTTACTGAAAGGTTGGAGGTCCAAGTTCACTCAGAGGTGCCTTAAAAGAAAGGCCTGGCAGTCTACCTCTGAAAGATCAGCCATTGAAAACCCTATGGAGCATAGTTCTACTCTGACACACATGGGGTCACCATGAGTCAGAGTCGACTCAATGGCAACTGGTAAGCAGTATAGTTGGATTTCCCTTTCATTTATCATGACCTTTTCTTTGACAGTGGTCAATCAGTTAGCCAATTTAGTCCATCTGATGAAAAAACATTCCAAAAAGTTTTCTTTAAGTATCCTCAAGATACCTGATTCACTCCAACTTTTGCTTTTCACTTGTGCTTTGGGATCTCAGAGTAGACAGGCCTGAGCGTACTGTGAGCAAGGCCTGCAGGAGGGTGAGGTGACCTTGGCTGGCCGGCTGAACCCACTGCTCCTGGGGAAGGAGATGTTGCCGCGGGTTTGTCTGAATCGTCTGTACAGCTCAGACTCCCTAGCCCGGATTTCCTGCACTTGCCCCTCACACAGACACTGTTTTCATGCCTCACCTTTGCCCCCCTGCCTATATGCTTGTACCCAGAGTGATAGCTCACTGAGAATTGGCTCCCTGTCGGACCCTCTCAGATGGCCACACAGGGCCTGGGGTAGTCTCTTGTCCCTCACGCCCCTTTTTGAAAACTCTTCAAATATACAGGAAAGTTGAAAGAATGGTGCAATAAAAACTCATACGCTTTCAGCTAGATCATCCATTAGCATTTTGCCCCGTTCGCTTTATCTCTGTATACATACTTTTTTGCTGATCTATTTGAAAATCAGTGTAGATATTGTGAGCCCTCACTCCTAAATGCACCATCGTGTATCTCCTACATAATCACAAATGCATCGCCATGCCTAAGAAAATTGATAACCCAGTAATATCTATTATATAGCTCATATTCAAATTTCTCTAATTGTTTCAAAAATATCTTTTTTAACCTTATTTTTCCAGTCCAGGGTCCATTCAAATTTTATGCATTGCATTTGTTTTTGTCTTGTTTTTTTTTTTGACTTAACAGAGTGTTGCCTTTTTTCCCCATGACATTGTCAGTTTGAAGTACCCAAGGCAATTGTATAACACCTTGCTGTCTACGTTTGTCTGTTTCCTCCTGAGCAGAGACAGATTGAAGATTTTGGCAAGAATACCACAGAGGCGACGTTGTGTGTCTTTTATTGTGTTGTGTCTGGAGGCACGTAATGCCAGGCTGCCTCTGCATTGGATCACGTGGTTAAGGAAGCAACTGCATCATAGAGATAAAATTACCCCTTTGTAATTATAGATAATCTGAAGGGCGGTACTTTGAGACCATATGAATACCCTGGTGGTGCAGTGGATAAAGTGCTCAGCTACTAACTGAAAGGTCGGTGGTTTGAACCACCAGCCGCTCCGAGGGAGAAAGATGTGGTAGTCTGCTTCTGTAAAGATTATAGCCTTGGAAACCCTGTGGAGCAGTTCTACTGTCCTACAGGGTTGCTATAAGCTGGAATTGACTTGATGGCAACAAGAACCATCTTTTACCCAATGATTTTACATCTGTAGACCATCCTTGCTTGAATCAGTTCTTGCACTGGTGGCTACAGAATGCTGACTTTCTAACTCTAGCATTTCTACTAGATTTAATAGCTGGTATTCTTCTTTGGAAAAGGCCTCTTTTTTCCCTTTCCCTTGCTTGGTGACTACCATTACTATGGACTTCAATGCATCATAACCCACTCCGCCATGATTCTTTTTGATGCTCAAACTGTCCCACATTTGGCCAGTGTGAGTCACTTCTTGGTGGCTCCTGTGCCCTTTTGATAGGTCTCCATTAGCCTTGGAGCACGTTCTAGATTTCTGACACAGCACTACATTCTAGGTTTACCTTGTTCTCTCATTTTCACCTGGTGCCACCCATTTTCCCAAGGTTTTTAGAAACCAAGATCTGGGCACAAGGTGTGCTCATGGCTACCTTTATTGCTTCTGGACCATTCCAGTGGACAGAATTAGGGAACATAGACTGAAGTCACACATTCAATGCCATAGGGCTCTTCCTAAGCTGTCTCCACTCCATATTTCTATCTTTCATCCTCCACAGTGAAAAACCCCAATTCTTAACCATGTATTTTTACTCATTTGCTTTGTCCTATAACACAGACAAAATACTTCCAGAATTACAGCACTATACAACTACCAACTGCATATCTGCTTATTAAATTGAAGATTTCTTTGCAGTTCTTTTTGTTCTCAGAATTTAGCCATCTAAATGTGTGCAGTAGGAGTATTGTATTCAAATAGGATTATTTTCTCTGCATGGTTTTTATCCATTTGGCATAGAGTTAGAATCATTTGTTTTAGTTTGTATGCTATTTTAATGTTCCCTTTTACAAATTTTTAAATCTAATTTAATTTTTAAATATGTAAAACATTGCATGGTTAAAAATTAAAAAAATATGTAAGAAGATAAACTCAGAGAAGTCTTGCTCCCATAGTGGTACACCCTACCCTTTACTCACCCACTGCTTTTAGGTAACTCTTTTCAATAGTTCCTGGGATAGCCTTTATATGTTCCTTTTACAAAAATATATTTAAACTTTTATTTTCATTTTTACATATATATAATATTTTTCTAGTACTTGTGTGGTTTTATTTTTTACTTAGATCTCTGATACAGTTCACACTTATTCTGGTGTATGGTGTAAGATATAGATCTAATTTTATCTTTTCACAAATGGCAATCCAGTTACTTCACTGTTGATTTTTTTAAAACACTGCAATTTCCCCAGGGGTTTGGCTGCCACCATAACATATTCTGGAGTCCCGGCACAGTGGTTAAGAGCTCGGCTGCTAACCAAAAGGTTGGCCGTTCGAATCCATCAGCCACTCCTTGGAAACCCTGTGGGGCAGTTCTCTACTCTGTCCTGTAGGGTCACTACGAGTCGGGATTGACTTGAAGGCAAAGAGTTTTTTTTTTTTTTTTTAATAATATATTCTAAATTTCCATACGTGCTTGGACCTATTTCTAGTATTTATATTATTTTCCAATTGTATTTATGATTATTCATGTGCTGGTACCACTTTTTTTTTTTACTTATAGGGCCTTCATGGTACTTATAAATACCATCTGCTCTTCCTTTTCAGTACTTGGCTAGCTATTCTTGCACAATTAATTTTCCATATGAACTTTAGAATCAACGTCAGACCCTATGTACAGAAACAAATATCTTGATATTTTTATTGGGGTTGCATTACATTTATATACCAAATTGAAGAGAATTGACTTCTATATGATATTAAGTATCCTCCAAGAAAAGCAATTCTCTTCAAGTCTGCTTTTGTGTGTTTCAGGAGACTTTTAAGATTTTACTCTTATGGGTTTTTCACATTTCTTGTTCTGTTTATTTTTAAGTATTTTATGTTTTTTGTTGCTTTCGTAAGTGGAGTTTCCCATTACATTTCCTACCTAGTCAATGATGCTATATTTTTTTTTTATACATTAACATTATAGCTGGCTATTTTATTGAATACTTTTATTGTGTTTGCTTTCTCCTTGATTCCCTTGAGTTTTCATGATATACCATCTGCCAAAATGTAGATCTTCTTTTCCAATTTTTATGCCTCTAATTGTTTTCTCCTCATTAATTGCATGGGCTTAAACCACCAATGTTAAATAATAGTGTAATAGTGGGCATACTTGCCTTGTTCCTGACTTTGGTGGGAAATCTACTAGTGTTTTTCATTAAGTATGATGCTGGCTATAGGGCTCAAGTACACATATTTTATCACGTTAAGGAGGTACTCATTAGTTTCTATTCTATTGAGTTTTTCCATCAGAAATGTGTGTTGGAGTTTGTCAAAAGTCCTTTCAGCATTAATAGGCATGAACTTATCCTCAACAGATATACCCTGGGACTGTCCTAGGCAAACTGCGATATATGGGCAGCCTGGTTCTTGGTTTTTGTTTCCTTTGTCCTTCTCTCCTTGTAGATCTGTGTGATTTTTGGAACATGTAGTGAGATACTTGGGCTTATGCAGCCACTATCATCCTACAGATGTCTAAAAGTCTCTTACTCTTTCTCTTGATACACAACCCAGGTCTGCAGCCTGATTCACAAAATAGTCCATCCAGTAGATGCAACCCCAATCAGAGCCCAGCTTATCTTCTCCTACAGATTGTACCTAGCCCTCTCACAGCTGGTGGTACACCCATCTCCAGAAAACAACTTTATGCACTTAATAGCTCAGAGAGTGTCATGTCCTCCAGCCCTGGCCCCTTGCTATCAGGGGTGGGATTGAAAAGCTGCTGTCTTGGTTGCCTACCTACTCGGCATCAGGCATCAATATCTCAAGGGCAAATGCTGGTTAGGTCAAGCCACTTTAGACTCACTCCTTAACAACACTTAACAGGCCTTTTAACTCGGGGCATGTTAAAGACAATAAAAAACCC